CAGGGGCCCCCGGGGCCCCAGGGGCCCGCTGAGGGTAAGCGGCAGAAGCAGCACAGAATTGGGGGGCCCCCCAAACCCTCAGGAGATGCCATGGGGGGCCCCCAGTCTAGGGGGCCCCCCGAGAGACACAGGCATAGGGGGTCTGAGGCGCAGGCAAGCTAAACCCTAAACCCTAAACCCTAAACCCTAAACCCTTGTGGCTTGCAGCACTCCACAGGCAGCTCGCAGATGTCGTGTGACCTCGAGGGCTCAGGGCTTGGGCGTTTAGGATTCAGGATTTAGGGTTTAGGGTTTAGGGTTTAGGGTTTGGGGTTTACAGGCTCCTCATTCTTGGAGAGGGATGCAGCCTGAGGGCGAAGAGGCGCTGCAGCACCCTTCTGCAGCATGGGTAAACCCTAAACGCTAAACCCTAAACCCTAAACCCTTGACTAGAAGTGGGAGGTTTGCGCATCAGTAGTGTTGACTACAGCTTGTGGTGCATTGGGGTTTAGGGTTTAAGGGTTTAGGGTTTAGGGTTTGTGTGCTGCAGGGTCTTGAGGAAACAGAGGAAGGAGGGTCCACTAGCATCTCGGTGGACGCATCAGGTAGGCGAGGGTTTAGGGTTTAGCTAGGGTTTAGGGTTTATCTAGGGTCTAGGGTTTGGCGAGCGTTTAGGGTTTGGCGAGGGTTTAGGGTTTTGCTAGGGTTTAGGGATTGCTTCGAGGTATATGCGGCCCTTTGGCTGACCATGAAGCGCTAGGGTTTAGGATTTAGATAAAATTAGGGTTTAGCTAGGGTTTAGCAAGGGTTTAGCAAGGGTTTAGGGTTTAGCTAGGATTTAAAGTTTAGCTAGGGTTTAGGGTTTAGCTAGGGTTTAGGGTTTGTGCGCTTCATATGTACAGGTTATCAAACGGGCCCTCAGGGGGGCTCCTCAGAGGGCCCTGGCAGCGGCCGTCGCCGGCGAGTAGGTGCTGCTAGGGTTTAGGGTTTAGGGTTTAGGGTTTAGGGTTTAGGTGGATTTTTGGCGTGGACCACGTTTCGCAACTCGACGCAAGCCGGTGGCCTTGATTTTAGGGTTTAGGGTTTAGGGTTAAGGGTTTAGGGTTTAGTTAATGTTGCCTTTTTCAGGATGAAATCTCAGGAAGGGGAGGAGGGGCCCCCTCCAGCCCGGGGGGCCCCCCACAGGCGGGTGGGGGCCCCCTGGGGCCCCCTGGGTCCCCTGGCTTTGGGGGTCCCGGGGGCCCCCCCGGGGGGCCCCCTGGGGGCCCCCCGGGG